ACTTGTTACTATGCTATCTTACATTATCAGTTCTGCTTCTCTAAAAATGGTAATTTCATATAAATGTTAAAATTTTTTTTAGGGACCCTGTATAATATTAATTACAAAGATATTTTATTAAAAGATTAAATATATGTAAATAAAATATGTATAAATAATAATTAAATCCAAGAAATAAAGAAAATTATGCATTACTTTGGATGATATTACATGTAGCTTATTGTAAAAATTAACGGAGGAAATTAACGGCAAAAATATGGAGACGCTTGCACTTCGCATTATCGGTTATCGATTAAGCTTACGAGAACGAATTCATTACGCACAAATGAAATAAATGAAGTAAGTTATTAATCGCGTGGATGATAGAGAACACTCATTACGAACAATGCGCCGCAAAACGCGAGAGAGCCGATCGAAATTACTTTATTATTCTACTATGCTACTTATATAAATTACGCATCTCCACGTGGTATAATTATACATTTAGTGCGATACATATTAATTTAATTATGAATGCTTCGGAATTAGAATCCAGTCTGCCTGGTTCTCTTTATTGAATAAGTATAAAATATAAAAACAAATTTTTTTCACTTTTTTATTTAAAAAAAAAATCAAGAAACTTGCTCAAAAAACACAATGAATTATATGTTGACTTATTATATCAATAAGATTTATTTAAAAATTAGAAAACTAAGCCTTTCTAACTTTCTAACTTATAAAGCGTTCTCTTTCAAGTCAATCATCTTCGTCAGCTTAAAGCATCTTTACTTACCAGTGAGACAATCAGGGCGTTAAGCACACCGACTATCGTGGCTGCCGCGAGCTGGTGGAAAAACTGCGTGATCATGACGAGCTCGTACGCAGGGGAGGCATTGGATTCGAAAGGTAGCTCCATTTTGAGAAACAGCTCTCGCGCTGGCACCGAGAGCTGTTCGTCGGGCTTGTCGGCGTGAGCAACAAGTACGCCAGTACCGTAAAGAAACACTGACATCGAGTAGAGGCCGATGATCAGGTTGGAGGACCGATGCGACACATCAATCGTTCTCGACATCGAGCAGACGGCCCACTCGGTCACGCACTCGCTCCGATCCTGGGCCATCATCTCCAGGATGTCGTAAAATATCCTGCGAAAAAACTTGAAGACATGCCTTTCGAACTGTCTTATGATTATAGTAGAATGTGATAATATTTTATTTTCTTTACACATCGCGTACTTCAAATCATAACGAAGGTACATACACTGTTAATTATTAAAGAAATAAAATTTAAATCAGTACCTTAAGTTAAATAATATTTCGTTATTTTTAACTACCATATGTGTGTCTACTCCTAAGTTTATTATTTTAACACAGTATTACTCTAACTTCATTGGATTAGTTAAATTAACGACATATTGAACAGGAGCAGTGGCGACTTATTGAAATGGTTAAAAAATGATATTCAAATTAGGTATAATTTGACCACGAGTTTAATAGTGTATGACGATTAAATATTTTAATTGCGTAAATCTATATCTATTTGATCATTGATATATGTCACTGTACAAAATAATTTTTTATTTTATGATATATTTTTCAAAAATATTAGACTAATCTAAAATTGATTTAGACACATACGAAAAGACTGCGTCCACGTCGTCGTTTCATAACAACGTTTTGAAACCTAGATGTAAATGAGACGGACTCACCGCCGATTGATCCAGAATATCGTGAGTTTCAATAATAGAAGGCTATAAGACATCGTAGTGCTGAGGCCATCCATCAGATGCGACAGGTCGTCCGTGCGGACGTGTATGACGAAATATCGATATTGAAAGGTCTGCGCCATCGTCAGAGTGATCATCCAGAAGGCGCGACGAAGGACCGTGCAGGACGAGTCGGGCCAAACGCCGATCACACGAAGACCTATCTCGATCGAACGGCTGACAGTGCCATCAAGGATCGTCGAATCGGTCTTCGGATCCATTTTTGGAGCTCTGACTTCGAAAGGTACTTCCGACCTAAACGCCTTCTTACATCGGTGCCACCATGAAACTTTGATATTTCAAAAATCCAACCGTGTACTTCGTGTTGCGATGTTGAACACATGGATGAACACGGGGGACGAACGCGGGTGAACACGGGAAAATCGCTGTGCACCAGCGATCCCCCACCTCGATGTCGATGTGAACCAATAGGAAGCAACGACAAGATATTCCCATCGCAATGGAAGAATTGTGAAATAAGAATAATTATAAAACAGACAGATAAGTGAGGGTATAGATAACGAAGAAAAAAAAGCGAGCAACGGAGGGAAAATGAATTGTCTTCGAAATTACCTTGAACCTTAAAAATTCAGGAACCGTACACGATCAGGCGCACGGTACGCAAGACCCTCGGGAAATCGTGCATAATAATAGTCAGTTAGATCAAGACACTTTAAAACGGTAAAATGTGGAAAGCAACATGCAAGCGACACTCAATAGCGAGGAAAGTTAAATTGGTACGTCCGGATCTGACGTTCTTATCGAAGGGAAAAAAATAATTATTCGCAGCGGGTATACCTGTAACTATGAGCGTGTAAGTACATGGACAACAGTGAGTGAATAGTATGAAAAAGACGAAACTAGAGTATTTGCATTCAAATTACGTTTCACAGATAATTTTTTGAACAGTGAAATATATGAACGTTTAAATATATTTAGTAAAGCTTCGATTTTCTAATGATATCGAAACGAAGTGAAAATGTGAATGACCTAAAATATGAAATAAATAAAGTAAAAAATGCTTTTTTTGATTAAAAAATCAGAGATTTTATGATAATAATGATTCGCGGTTTATTTGAAAGAAAAATCTTAGGATTTATTTACTTATATATATGTTTCAATAAAGTATGTCTTATTGTATGTATATTTAGAAAAAATCTCGCACCAATTATAAACTACTACACAATGTAATGCAACACTTGCTACTGTCCAACATAGTCAGTAATCACTGACTATGCATCCTGATGGATGGGCTTGGCACAAGTAACTAATCTCGGCTAATACATCGCGTGCAGCACCGACATGTACGAAGCGGATGCTTTTATCACCTAGACGAAACAAACCAATAAATTTCATTCACGTAATAGACCGAGTATCATTTTCAACTTTGACTAAAAAACATGAAACATCTTGACATTCTATCTTCTTATAATATATATTCGCAAGACAAGATTCTTACACTTGTAAATCCTATTAGCGAAAGATCCATTATCTTTCCAGCAGTGATTGTCAATCTCTTCTGTGATCTTAATATCACAAATAATAGAATTCGACATTCGGCAGGTGGCATGTTATACCAAAGCGCCTCGTAGACTGCATCGCCTACCGATTTGCTCTGAAAAAAAAGCAAACAGTACAACAGCACAAACAAGAAAAGAAAGACTATCAATTTATCTGAATTCAATTTCAAGTCCGATTCAGTGACATCGTCTAAGAGTTTACGAACTTTTAAGAAACACAAGAGTCGTAAAGTACGTATATATATATTAAATTGATCAAGCTCGGTAAAAGTTGTCCAGCAGAAAGAGCAAAAAGTTTGAAAATTGATCGTCAACGGCTTCAAAGAATGAAATAGAATTTTGTACATGTAAGATAAAATATAGTGCGAATACCTTGGCGCTGAGGTATTCTCCAGCGAAACAAAAGATAAAGGCTTCCAATATTACGGCGACGTAAAACGTAGCGGATTTCAACATTAACACGGTAGCTCCGTCTTTACCGAGAGACTACAAGAAGATAGCAAAAAGGACTCGGAAGGTGTATTTAATATAAGTATAGTATAAAATTATAAAAATATGTTATAAATATATTTGATTAATTAACGATGCGACTTACCTCTATAAAGGTAAAGCCGACGCAACACATGACCACGGTATTTGACAAAAACTGCATCAGGGCGATCTCGGAATAGAGCTTTTCAATATTGTCCGAAAGCGTTATTATACTTTGGTGTCGACTAATCAGAACCCTGACACTTGAAACGATTGAAAAGCGCTGTGAAGTTTCATTGCCGCAAATTGTCAGTAATTCTCGACGAAGAATATCGATCTGTCCGCTCACGTGAAGCACCTAAACGTTGACTATTAATAGATTTCACAAAAAAACTTCAAAAACTTTTGATTATTAGCAAAAAAATCTTTTCAAAATTATCAAAATTCTAGATGCAGATTTAGAAAAAGACAAAAATTGTTCTTAATTAGTTTTGATCAGCACTCGTAAAGAAATAAGAAATAAAGCTCCCAGGCAAGAAATAAAGCTAATAAATTTTACAAAGCCATGCGTCACTTATATAATCGGTGGAACTCACCAACGTGATGAGCAAGCAATTTATCACCGCATTTAAAGAGCCCACCGACACTGCATAAAAAATCTGAACAAGCGCTAGAAGTTCGAAGAAGGGAGACGCGTCAACTTCAAAAGGAAATTCCATCTTTATAGGTAACACTTTCGAACTAATGTTGAGATCCTCGTTAAATTCGGTCTCACGACGCGCAAGAGTGGTCATGCAGTAGTAAATTGTGCCCGTGGCGTTAATGCTGATCAACACGTTTGAGCAACGGCGCGACAGATCGGCATTGCCGGACATGATATACGATACCGATTTATCGTAAATATCGACGTTGTTCCAGTGTTCTTCCATCGCCAGCAGAATATCATAAAATATCCTGTGGAAAATTGCTCGCATATTTTGCATCAAAACCGTCGTTTCTGTCATTTACATCGAGAAACTATGTCCCTACCTGCGGTTCGACCAGAGAGATATTTGCTTCAGGCCGCTGAAACTGGCCGACAACATGATACTAAGCGCATCGATGAGATTAGAGATATTCTTGACGTCGAAATGATCGAAAATGTACACGTACTGAAAATACAGCGCCAACACCAAGCACGTCATATACGCGAGCCAAATGACGATTCCATACGGTAAACCGGGCCAGATCCCAATGAATCTGAGGCCGATCTCGACGGAAGTGCTGATGGAAGTTTCGCGCATTATCTCACGCCCTCACGGATTCGGACCACCGCGACGTTTCTTCGTCAAAAGCGAAACGATTATCTTGCGAGCAACGCTACTCGGAAATTAGCATTGAGTTTTGACGAGCTATAACTCCGGTCGCAGTGCACGGCAACAATGCCCCTTCGTCGATCGTTATCAATCAATCGCAATTACGTATGTTCTTGCCGTGCCTGATGCGACGGCAAAAAAGAAGCGTACGTTACATTTTTACGATGATTACAGGTTACAAAGAAGAAAAAGCGTAATTCGTGACGACATATATTGAACGTTACGCGGAAGGGAACGTAAGTTATTCATTTAATGAAAAAAATGAAAGATCCGTTGAGCGCATGTGCACAATGTGCAGAGATGCGTTGAAAGACTTGAAGAGAGACATAAAAGTAAAGGGAAGAGAATGTTGCTACAAAGAGACTTGTGAGAAGATCTAAACGCGCATTGTTGTTTTATAAACAAAAGTAACATGGAATTAACGTTTGATCACTATTACGTGCTCCTTAGGAAAATCAAAGAAAATTATTTATTATACCAATGTCTTGAATTTCAATATATACGTAACATGCGTTATATGAAAGTTTATTTATCAAAAAGACTTTTATACAATTTAAAATATTACTTGAGTAAACATCTCTATTTTTGAATGATATCTATTTCTTTTCCAACAATTCGTTAGTAGCATTGATGCGCTTCCAATATCACGTTGCATTAAATAAGCGCATATGTGCTACGTTAAAGATCGTCTGATAATTAAATTTATAACTAATTATTATGTTTCAGGGAGTAATATTTGCATGCGATTTTCTACGTCTTCCTACGATCAGTTTCATCAAGTGCACGAACAAATATAATTGCCATTGATATCCGTATCCGGGCCGTAATTTCATAATAATTGCATATGCAATGTCGATACGTATGATGCAGAAGTTTTTACGACTTGTGTATACAAAAACATATTTTCCATTGTAAGTATTAAGTATATTGAATACTAGCTTAATACCCGTGCTTCGCCACGGTGACTCACATTTTACCCATTTTCACCCCGTTAGGAGTCGAATTTCTGAAAATCATTTTTTAGTGGGTGCTTACGTCATGGAAGGAATATACTCCCCGAATTTCATGTTTCTAGGTTTAGGAGGTTTGGACTAGGCGTTGATGAGTCGTAACATTGAATTATATATATATATATATATACATATGTATATAAATATGCATAGTCCCAAAAACCGCTGAATTGTTTGCATTAAAAATTGTGTGCACATTCAACTTTGATATTCATTCGAGACGCGTTTAATATCCATGAGCAAAATTTTGTATGTATGAGAAATGGATCTTACGCGGTAAATCCCTTCGAAGAAACATCCATCACTTTTCCGGCGGCGATCGTCAATCTTTTTTGCGACCTCACAATCACAAGCAGAAGAGTTACACACTGGCTGGGCGTCATTTTGTATCGGACTCCTATACGGCGTCCTAGACAGCGTCCTAGACGGACTTTTAGACGGCATCTACGATCGACTGAAAAACATCCAGTTGAGTTCTATGAATGTCGAAAGAGGACGAATATTTTTTCTCTCGAAAAACTTTTGCTTGACGTAAATACGTGCATATAGTAGCAACTTGTAAAGTTATGTACTCGCATAATTGTCCATTAATACAGCAATTTATCAAAAAATAAGATTGCTCCGATAAAATACAGTATAAATGTATATAACCTTCGTGCTAAGATACTCTTGGCGAAACAATAAAAAAACGCTTCTGACATAAAATAAAATAATTTTTGTTACTGCTCTTTGATTGTTACCGGTAATTTGTAAAAACAACGAGTAAATAATATAAATTGGTTATGCAACAGCAAAGCAAAATCATGTACGACATTTAAATGTTATGTAGTTATACGCAATTGCTCTCGTTAATTGCTCGTATGTCTCTGTATGGAATTAATTCTTCATATTTCATGTTACTTTTTAAAAATATCAAATTAATCTAAACTCGATTTAGAAACGTGCTATGCAAAGTACACAATTGAATTTAAAAAAGATTTTGTCCACGTCATTTGTTTTGTAACATGAATAAGTGAGCTCACCATTGATTGATTAAAAATATCATAAGTTTTAATAGTAGAAGGCTCTCTCTATAAGACATCGTAGAGTGTTGAAGCCATCTGTCAGGTCGTCCGTGCGGAAGTATATGACGAAATATCAACCCTGACAACTCTGCATCGTCAGACTGATCCAGAAGACGCTACGAAGGACCGTGCAAGATGAGTTGGGCCAAACGCCGATCATGCGAAGACCGATCGCAATCGAACTGCCATTGAGGATTATCGAATCGGTTTTCGGATCCATTTTCGAAGTTCTGACTTCGAAAGGCACTTCCGACCGAGACGCCTCCTTACATTGGTACCACCGTGAAACTTTGATATTTCATCGAAAATTTAACCGTGTACTTCGTATGTTAAACACGTGGATGAACACAGGGGACGAACGCGGGTGAACACGGGAAAATCGCTGTGCACCAGCGACCCCCACCTCGATGTCGATGTGAACCAATAGGAAGCAACGACAAGATATTCCCATCGCAATGGAAAAATTGTCAAATAAGAATAATTATAACAGACAAAAAAGTGAGGGTATAGATAACGGAGAAAAAAAAGCGAGCAGCGGAGGGAAAATGAATTGTGTTTGAAATTACCTTGAACCTTAAAAATTCAGGAACCGTACGCAATCAAGCACACGGTACGCAAGACCCTCGGGAGATCGTGCATAATAATAGTCAGTTAAATCAAGACACTTTAAAACGGTAAAATGTGGAGAGCAACATGCAAGCGACACTCAATAGCGAGGAAAGTTAAATTGGTACGTCCGGATCTGACGTCCTTATCGAAGGGAAAAAAATAATTATTCGCAGTGGGTATACCTGTAACTATGAGCGTGTAAGTACATGGACAACAGTGAGTGAATAGTATGAAAAAGGCGAAACTAGAGTATTTGCATTCAAATTACGTTTCATAAAAATTTAAGATATTTATGATTTTTTGAACAGTGAAATATATGAACTTCAATAGGTAATTAAATGTCAGTGATGAAATAATACAGCGAAAATGTTAATAGGCCTGACTGGAAATACTTTATTAGATATTAACTACGTTTCGACCCCTGCTTGGGGTCCTTATCAGGTTAAATGATGGATCTTTGTGCGTCAATATTACAATATTTGAGCCATTATAGTTATTGCGTAACGATCTGTGAACAGATTCGTTGCTCAGGCTCTACACGAGATGGTCATGGTTCGTTCCATCTGTCCACAGAAACCGTTTACGCAATAACTATGACTCAAATATTGTAATATTGACGCACAAAAAGCCATCATTTAACTTGATAAGGACCCCAAGCAGGGTTCGAAACGTAGTTGATATCTAATACAGTTTTGCCAGTCAGTCCGATTAACGTTCTCGTTAAAATATATGAACGTTTAAAATCATTTACTAAAATTTCGATTTTCTAATGATTTCGATACGAAGTGAAAATGTGAATGACCTAAAATATAAAATAAATAAAGAAAAAATGCTTTTTTTACTTAAAAAATCAGAGATTTTATGGTAATAATATATCGCAGTTTATTCAAAAAAAAAAAAAATCTTAAAATTTATTTACTTATGTATGTTTCAATAAAATATGTCTTATTGTACGTATATTTAGAAAAAATCACGCACTAATTACAAACTACTACACTATGTAATCCAACACTTGCTACTGTCCAACATAGTCAGTAATTACGATAGATGCGCTTGGCACAAGTAACTAATCTCGGCTAATACATCGCGTGCAGCACCGACATGTACGAAGCGGATGCTTTCATCACCTAGACGAAACAAACCAATAAATTTTATTCACGTAATAGACCGCGTATCGTTTTCAACTTTGTCTAAAAAACATTAAACATCTTGACATTTTATCTTGTTATAATATATATTCGCAAAACAAGATTCTTACACTTGTAAAATCTTTAAGCGAAAGATCCATGATCTTTCCAGCAGTGATTGTCAATCTCTTTTGCGATCTTAATATAACAAATAATAAAATTCGACATTCGGCAGGTGGCATGTTATACCAAAGCGCCCCGTAGACTGCATCCCCAATCGATTTGCTCTGAAAAAAAAGAAAATAAATAGTACAACGGTACAAACAAGAAAAGAAAGTCTATCAATTTATCTGAATTCAATTTCAAGTCCGATTTAGTGACATTGTGTCTATGAGTTTTTTAACTTTTAAGAAACACAAGAGTCGTGAAGTACGTATAGATATATATTATTAAATTGATCAAGCTCGGTAAAAGTTGTTCCGCAGAAAAGACAAAAAGTTTGAAAATTGATTGTCAACAGCTTCGAAGAATGAATCAGAATTTTATACGTGTAGGATAATATATAGTGCGAATACCTTGGCGCTGAGATATTCTCCAGCGAAACAAAAGATAAAGGCTTCCAACGTTATGGACACGTAAAATATAGCGGATTTCAACATTAACACGGTAGCTCCGTCTTTACCGACAGACTACAAGAAGATAGCAGAGAAGACTTGGAAGGTGTATTTAATAAGTTTAGTATAAAATTATAAAAATATGCTATAAATACATTTGATTAATTAACGATGCGACTTACCCCTATGAATGTGAAGCCGATGCAACACATGACTACGGTATTCGACAGGAACTGCATCAGGGCGATCTCGGAATAAAGCTCTTGAATATTGTCCGAAAGCGTTATTATTCTTTGGTGTCGACTAATCAGAAGCCTGACACTTGCAACGATTGAAAAGCGCTGTGAAGTTTCATCGCCGCAAATTGTCAGTAATTCTCGACGAAGAATATCGATCTGTCCGCTCACGTGAAGTACCTAAACGTGACTATTAATATAGATTCCACAAAAAAACTGTAAAAACTCCCGATTATTAGCGAAAATTATTTTCAAAATTATCCAAATTCTAGATGCGGATTTAGAAAAATACAAAATTGGTCAATTAGTTTTGATTAGCACTCGCAAAGAAATAAGAAGTAAAACTCACAGGCAAGAAATAAAGCTAATAAATTTTAAAAAGCCATGCGTCACTCATATAATCGGTGGAACTCACCAACGTGATGATTAAGCAATTTATCATAGCGACTAAAGAGGCTATCGACACTGCATAAAAAATCTGAACGAGCGCTAAAAGTTCGAAAAGGGGAGACGCGTCAACTTCGAAGGGAAGTTCCATTTGTACTGGCAGTATTCTCAAGCTAATGTTGAGATCCTCGTTAAATTCAGTCTCACGACGCACAAGACTGGTCATGCAGTAGCTAATTGCGGTCGCGGCGTTAATGCTGATCAACACGTTCGAGCAACGGCGCGACAGATCGGCATTGCTCGACATGATATACGATACCGATTTATCGTAAATATCGACGTTATTCCAGTATTCTTCCATCGCCAGCAGAATATTATAAAATATCCTGTGGAAAATTGGTCGCGTATTTTGCATCAAAACCGTCTTTCCTATTATTTATATCGAAGGACTGTCCCTACCTGCGGTTCGACCAGAAAGATATCAGCTTCAGGCCGCCGAAGCTGGCCGACAACGTGATACTAAGCGCATCGATGAGATTCGAGATTTTGTTGATGTCGAAGTGATCGAAAATGTACACGTACTGAAAATACAGCGCCAACACCAAGCACGTCATATACGCGAGCCAAATGACGGTTCCATTCGGTAAACCGGGCCAGATCCCAACGAATCTGAGACCGATCTCGACGGAAGTGCTGATGGAAGTTGCGCGCATTATCTCGCGGAATCGGACCACCGCGACGTTTCCTCGTCAAAAGCGAAACGATTATCTTACGAGCAACGCTACTCGCAAATTAAGCATTGAGTTTCGACGAGCTATAACTCCGGTCGCAGTGCGAGGCAACAATGCGTTGCCCCTTCGTCGATCGTTATCAATCAATCGCAATTACGTGTGTTCTTACCGTGCTCGGTGCAACGGCAAAAAATAGCGTATACGTTACATTTTTACGATGATTACAGGTTACAGAGAAAGAAAGAGCGTAATTCGAGACGACATATATTGAATGTTACGCGGAAGGGGACGTAAGTTATTCATTTAATAAAAAAAATAAAAGATCCGTTGAGCGCATGTGCACAATGTCAGATGCGTTGAAAGACTTGAGAGACATAAAAGTAAAGGGAAGGGAGTGTTGCTACAAAGAGACTTGTGAGAAGATCTAAACGCGCATTGTTGTTTTATAAACAAAAGTAATATGGAATTAACGTTTGATCACATTCACGTGCTCCTTATTAGGAAGATCAGAAAAAATTATTTATTTTACCAATGTCTTGAATTTCAATATATACGTAACATGCGTTATATGAAAGTTTATTTATCAAAAAGATCTGTATACAATTTAAAATATTACTTGAGTAAACATTTCTATTTTCGAATGATATCTATTTCTTTCCCAATAATTCATTAGTAACAATAACATACTTCCAATATCCACGTTGCATTAAATTAGCGCATATGTGCTACGTTAAGGATCATCTGATAATTAAAATTATAACTAATTATTATATTATATTTCAGGGAGCAATATTTACATGCGATTTTCTATGTCTTCCTACGATCAATTTCATCAAATGCACGAGGAAATATTATTGCCATTGATATCCGTATCCGGGTCGTAATTACATAATAATTGTATGCAATTTCGATACGTATGATGCAGAAATTTTTACGATTTGTATATACGAAAATATATTTTCCATTGTAAATAAAATGATTTTTGTTATTGCTCTTTGATTGTTACCGGTAATTTTTAGAAACAACGAGTAAATAATATAAATTGGTTATGCAACAGCAAAGCAAAATCATGTACGACAATTAAATATTATGTAGTTATACGCAAATCTCTCGTTAATTGCTCGTATGTCTCTGTATGGAATTAATTCTTCATATTTCATGTTAATTTTAAAAGATATCAAATTAATCTGAACTTGATTTAGAAACGTGCTATGCCAAGTACACAGTTAAATTTAGAAAAAATTTTGTCTACGTTATTTGTTTCGTAACATGAATAAGTAAACTCACCATTAAGGAGTAAAGCCACTCTAGAATTTTCAAAAAAAACAATTTTTTTTTTTTTTGGTTAAACAATGCTTTAAGGTCTTAGAAATAAGGTACACTTGGTTTCAAAGCTCGGAAAAATCTCTATTATCCCTTTTTCGTAATCCGTCTGCCGCCGCGTTCACATCTGTGAATGGTGAAACTGAAACTTTAAACGCGTTTTTCTTGAAATCGCTTTTTTAAAGTCGGCGGAATCAGAACTCGAATACTTTTTATCCGATTAACTTGAAATTTTGAGTGAAACTTTACAATAACATTATCTTTAGAAGTACCTAGGGATTTTGCGATAAGTTGAACAAAACTTCTTTTATAAACAATTTTGTGCGACATTTTTTAGCGAAAAGTGAAGCACTTTTTTCCAACATGCATCATTCTTACAAAAAATGATATTTCGCAATTCTCCTAGGTACTTCTATAGAAAAACTTATATATTTTTCAAAAATCTTTGAATTTTTGTTCCAGCTTAGAAATTATAGGAGCTTCGATTCCGCCCGTTGGACGCGCCTTCCGCAAAAAAGCACTTTGGAGCAATGGCTCTGGTGCCGCCATTTTGCCAATAAATAATTAATAAAAAATTTTTTTTATATTTTAATATATAAATAATAAATAGAATTAAACCGATTTTCATTTATGATTATTGTATTTCTGAAAAAAATTATCAAAAATTGGCTTTTTTGGGACTCTAGAGTGGCGTTACCCCTTAATTGATTAAAAATATCGTAAGTTTTAGTAGTAGAAAACTCTCTCTATAAGACATCGTAGAATGTTGAGGCCATCTATCATGTCGTGCGGAAGTATATGACAAAATATCAACACTGACAAATCTGCATCGTCGTCAGACTGATCCAGAAGACCCAACGAAGGACCTTGCAAGATAAGTCGGGCCAAACGCCGATCCCGCGGAGATTGATCTCGATCGAACGACTGCCATCGAGGATCATCGAAGGACCATCAAGGATTCGACTGCCATCGAATCGGTTTTCGGATCCATTTTTGGAATTCTGATTTCGAAAAATACTTCCGACCAAGACGCCTCTTTACATTGGTACCACCGTGAAACTTTGATATTTTGTCGAATATCTAAACGTGTACTTTGTGTTGCGATGTTGAATACATGGATGAACACGGGGGATGAACGCGTGTGAACACAGAAAAATTGCTGCGCACCAGCGATTCCCCACTTCGATGTCGATAAAAACCAATAGAAAGTACCGACAAGATATTCCCATCGCAATGAAAGAATTGTCAAATAAGGATGATTATAACAGACAAGGGTATAGATAACGAAGAAAAAAAGCGAGCAGCGGAGGGAGAATGAACTGTTTTTGAAATTACCTTGAACCTTAAAAATTCAGGAACCGTACACGATCAGACGCACGGTACGCAAGACCCTCGGGAGATCGTGCATAATAATAGTCAGTTAGATCAAGATACTTTAAAACGGTGACACTCAATAGCAAGGTAACAAGTGACACTCAATAGCGAGGAAAATTAAATTGATACGTCCGGATCTGACGCCCTTATCGAGGGGAGAAAAATAATTATTCGCAGCGGATATACCTGCAACTATAAGCGTGTACGTACATGATCAACAGTGAGTGAATAGTATAAAAAATACGAAACTAAAGTATTTGCATTCAAATTACGTTTCATAGGAATTTAGAATATTTATGATTTTTTGAACAATAAAATATATAAACGTTTAAAATTATTTAGTAAAGCTTCAATTTTCTAATAACATCGAAACAAAGTGAAAATGTGAATAATCTAAAATCTGAAATAAATAAAGTAAAAAATGCTCTTGTTATTTAAAAAATCAGATATTTTATGAAAATAATGTATCGCGGAATATTCGTAAAAAAATCTAAGGATCTATTTACTTATATATGTTTCAATAAAGTATGTCTTATTGTACGTATATTTAGAAAAAATCTCGCATTAATTATAAACTACTATACTATGTAATGCAACACTTGCTACTGTCCAACATAGTCAGTAATCACGATGGATGCGCTTGGCACAAGTAACTGATCTCGGCTAATACATCGCGTGCAGCACCGACATGTACGAAGCGGATGCTTTCATCACCTAGACGAAACAAACCAATAAATTTCCACGTAATAGACCGCGTATCGTTTTCAATTTTGTCTAAAAGACACTAAACATCTTGACATTCTATCTTGTTATGATATAGGTATATTCGCAAGACAAGATTCTTACACTTGTAAAATCTTTAAGCGAAAGATCCATGATCTTTCCAGCAGTGATTGTCAATCTTTTCTGCGATCTTAATATCACAAATAATAGAATCCGACATTTGGCAGGTGGCATGTTATACCAAAGCGCCTCGTAGACTGCATCCCCAATCGATTTGCTCTAAAAAAAAAAAAATAATAATAAGTAGTACAACGATACAAACAAGAAAAAAAAGTCTATCAATTTATCTGAATTTAATTTCAAGTCCGATTCAGTGACATCGTCTAAGAGATTTCTAACTTTTAAGAAACACAAGAGTCGTGAAGTACGTATAGATATATATTAAATTGATCAAGCTCGGTAAAAGTTGTTGCGTAGAAAATGCAAAAAATTTGAAAATTGATTGTCAACGGCTTCAAAGAATGAAACAGAATTTTAAACGTATAAGCTAAAATATAGTGCAAATATACCTTGGCGCTGAGGTATTCTCCAGCGAAACAAAAGATAAAGGCTTCCAACGTTACGGAGACGTAATACATAGCGGATTTCAACATTAACACGCTAGCTCCGTCTTTATCGAGAGACTACAAGAAGATAGCAAAGAAGACTCGGATTAATAAGTTTAGTATAAAATTATAAAAATATGCTATAAATATATTTGATTAATTAACGATACGACTTACCCCTATGAAGGTGAAACCGATGCAACACATGACCACGGTATTCGACAGAAACTGCATCAGAGCAATCTCGGAATAGAGCTCTTCAATATTGTCCGAAAGCATTATTATTCCTTGGTGTCGACTTATCAGGAGTCTGACACTTGCAACGATCGAAAAGCGCTGTGAAGTTTTATTGCCGCAAATTGTCAGTAATTCTCGACAAAGAATATCGATCTGTCCGCTCACGTGAAGCACCTAAACATGACTATTAATAGATTTCACAAAAAACTTTAAAAACTTCTGATTATTAGCGAAAGTTCTTTTCAAAATTATCCAAATTCTAAATGCGGATTTAGAAAAAAACAAAAATTGGTCTTAATTAGTTTTGATTAGCACTCGCAAAGGAATAAGAAATAAAGCTCACAGGCAAAAAATAAAGCTAATAAATTTTAAAAAGCCGTGCGTCACTCGTATAATCGGTGGAACTCACCAACGTGATGATCAAGCAATTTATCATAGCGACTAAAGAGGCTATCGACACTGCATAAAAAATCTGAACAAGCGCTAAAAGTTCGAAGAGGGGAGACGCGTCAACTTCGAAAGGAAATTCCATTTGTACAGGCAGTACTCTCAAGCTAATGTTGAGATCCTCGTTAAATTCGGTCTCACGACGCACAAGAGTAATCATGCAGTAGCAAGTTGCGGTCGCGGCGTTAATGCTGATCAACACGTTCGAGCAACGGCGCGACAGATCGGCATTGCCCGACATGATATACGATACCGATTTATCGTAAATATCGACGTTGTTCCAGTGTTCTTCCATCGCCAGCAGAATATCATAAAATATCCTGTGGAAAATTGCTCGCATATTTTGCATCAAAACCGTCGTTCCAGTCATTTACATCGAGGAACTATGTCCCTACCTGCGGTTCGACCAGAGAGATATCAGCTTTAGGCCGCCGAAGCTGGCCGACAACGTGGTACTAAGCGCATCGATGAGATCCGAGATTTTGTTGATCTCGAAATGATCGAAAATGTACACGTACTCAAAATACAGCGCCAACACCAAGCACGTCATATACGCGAGCCAAATGACGGTTCCATACGGTAAACCGGGCCATATCCCAACGAATCTGAGGCCGATCTCGACGGAAGTGCTGATGGAAGTTGCGCGCATTATCCTTACCGAATCGGACCACCGCGGTGGTCGCGGTGCACCGCGACGTTTCCTCGTCAAAAGCGAAACGATTATCTTACGAGCAACGCTACTCGCAAATTAAGCATTGAGTTTTGACGAGCTATAACTCCGGTCGCAGTGCGAGGCAACAATGCGTTGCCCCTTCGCCCTTCGTCGATCGTTATCAATCAATCGCAATTACGTGTGTTCTTACCGTGCTCGGTGCAACGGCAAAAAATAGCGTACGTTACATTACGATGATTACAGATTACAGAGAAGAAAAAGCGTAATTCGAGACGACATATATTGAACGTTACGCGGAAGGGGACGTAAGTTATTCATTTAATAAAAAAAAATGAAAGATCCGTTGAGCGCATGTGCACAATGTCAGATGCGTTGAAAGACTTGAGAGACATAAAAGTAAAGAGAAGGGAGTGTTGCTACAAAGAAACTTGTGAGAAGATCTAAACGCGCATTGTTGTTTTATAAACAAAAGTAACAACGAATTAACGTTTGATCATATTTACGTGCTTCTTAGGAAGATCAAAGAAAATTATTTATTTTACCAATGTCTTGAATTACAATATATAGGTACGTAACATGCGTTATTTAAAGTTTATTTATCAAAAAGACTTTTATACAATTTAAAGTATTACTTGAGTAAACATCTCTAATTTCGAATGATATCTATTTCTGTCCCAACAATTCGTTAGTAGCATTGATGCGCTTCCAATATCACGTTGCATTAAATAAGCGCATATGTGCTACGTTAAAGATCGTCTGATAATTAAATTTATAACTAATTATTATATTTCAAGGAGCAATATTTGCATGCGATTTTCTACGTCTTCCTACGATCAGTTTCATCAAGTGCACGAGCAAATGTAATTGCCATTGATATCCGTATCCGGGCCGTAATTTCATAATAATTGCATGCATTGTCGACACGTATAATGCAGAAATTTTAAGACTTATTGTGTATACGAAATAGTATATTGTACAACTAGTGCGGGAAAAGTAGTCGATTCTGAATGAGTATGAAGTTGGTCGCACAAGCGAAGTGAGTCACTCCAATTTATATTGAGTGACTCACTTCGCTCGTGCGACCATCACACTCATTTGGGCTCGACCACTCTTCCCACGAGTTGTTCATACTATTTTTCCTAACAAGAGCGTGAAACAGGCCGCTTTTCGCGCTTGTTTTACAATTTCATTTCTCCACTAGTTGAGAAATATAGCTCCATTTTTCAACTAGTGGAGAAATGAATTGTTTTGCTCACTCAAAACATGCGTGAAAAGCGGCCCATTTCACGCTCGCGTTAGAAAAATATATTTTCCATTGTAAGTATTAAGTATATTGAATATATGCATAGTCCCAAAAACCACTGAATCGTTTGCATTAAAAATTGTGTGCACATTCAACTTTGATATTCATTCGAGACAAGTTTAATATCCATGAGCAAAATTTCGTATGTATGAGAGAAATGGATCTTATATACGCGGTGAATCCCTTCAAAGAAACTTTCATCACTTTTCCGGCGGCGATCGTCAATCTCTTTTGCGATCTCACAATCACAATTGAAGCAAAAGGTTTAGACGCTGGCTAGACGTCATTTTGTATCGGACTCCTGGACGGCGTCCTAGATGGATTCCTAGACGGCATCTACGATCGACTAAAAAACATTTAGTTGAGTTCTATGAATGTCGAAAGAATATTCTTTCTCTGAAAAAAATTTTGCTTGACGTAAATACGTGCATATAGTAGCAACTTTTAAAGTTATGTACTCGCATAATTGCCTATTAATACAGCAATTTATCAAGAAATAAGATCGTTCCAATAAAATGCAATTTAAATGTAACTTTCGTGTTAAGATACTTTCGGCGAAGCAATAAAGGAACGCTTCTGATATAAAATAAAATTATTTTTGTTATTGCTCTTTGATTGTTACCGGTAATTTTTAAAAACAACGAGTAAATAATATAAATTGGTCATGCAACAGCAAAGCAAAATTATGTACGACAATTAAATATTATGTAGTTATAGGCAAATCTCTCGTTAATTGCTCGTATGTCTCTGTATGGAATTAATTCTTCATATTTCATGTTATTTTTAAAAAATATCAAATTAATCTAAACTCGATTTAGAAACGTGCTATGCAAAGTACACAATTGAATTTAAAAACGATTTTGTCCACGTCATTTGTTTTGTAACATGAATAAGTGAGCTCACCATTGATTGATTAAAAATATCATAAGTTTCAATAGTAGATGGCTCTTTCTATAAGACATCGTAGAGTGTTGAGGCCATCTATCAGGTCGTGCGGACGTATATGACGAAATATCAACACTGACAAATCTGCATCGTCGTCAGACTAATCCAAAAGACGCGACAAAGGACCGTGCAAGATGAGTCGGGCCAAACGCCGATCACGCGAAGACCGATCTCGATCGAACGACTACCATCAAGAATCATCGAATCGGTTTTCGGATCCATTTTTGGAGTTCTGACTTCGAAAGGTACTTCCGACCGAGACGTTTCCTTACATCGGTATCACCGTGAAACTTTGATATTTCGTCGAAAATCTAAACGTGTATTTCGTGTTGCGATGTTGAACACATGGATGAACACGGGGGATGAACGCGGGTGAACACGGAAAAATCGCTACGCACCAGCGATTCCCCACCTCGATGTCGATATGAACCAATAGGAAGTACCGACAAGATATTCTTATCGCAATGGAAAAATTGTCAAATAAGGATGATTATAATAGACAGCTAAGTGAGGGTATAGATGACAAAGAAAAAAAAGCGAGCAACGGAGAGAGAATAAATTGTTTTTGAATATACCTTGAATCTTAAAAATTCAGGAACCGTACACGATCAGGCGCACGGTACGCAAGAATCTCGAGAGATCGTGTGTAATAATAGTCAGTTAGATCAAGACACTTTAAAATGTGGAAAGCAACATGCAAGCGACATTTAATAGCGAGGAAAGTTAAATTAGTACGTCCGGATCTGCCATCCTTATCGAGGGGAAAAAATAATTATTCGCAGCGGGTATACCTGTAACTATGAGCGTGTAAGTACATAGACAACAATGAGTGAATAGTATGAAAAAGACGAAACTAGAGTATTTGCATTCAAATTACGTTTTATATGAATTTACAATATTCATGATTTTTTGAACAATGAAATATATGAACGTTTAAAATTATTTAGTAAAGCTTCGATTTTCTAATGATATCGAAACGAAGTGAAAATGTGAATGACCTAAAATATAAAGTAAATACAGTATAAAAAATACTTTTTTTATTTAAAAAAATCAGAGATTTTATGATAATAAGGTATCGCGGTTTATTCGAAAAAAAATCTTAGGATCTATTTACTTATATATGTTTCAATAAAATATGTCTTATTGTTCCTATATTTAGAAAAAATCTCGCGCCAATTATAAACTATTACACTATGTAATGCAACACTTGCTACTGTCCAACATAGTCAGTAATCACGATGGATGCGCTTGGCACAAGTAACTGATCTCGGCTAATACATCGCGTGCAGCACCGACATGTACGAAGCGGATGCTTTCATCACCTGGACGAAACGAACCAATAAATTTCATTCACGTAATAGACAGCGTATTGTTTTCAATTTTGTCTAAAAGACACTAAACATTTCATCTTGTTATGATATATATTCGCAAGACAAGATTCTTACACTTGTAAAATCTTTAAGCGAAAGATCCATGATCTTTCCAGCAGTGATTGTCAATCTCTTCTGCGATCTTAATATCACAAATAATAAAATTCGACATTCGGCAGGTGGCATGTTATACCAAAGCGCCTCGTAGACTGCATCGCCAATCGATTTGCTCTGAAAAAAAAGAAAACAGCACGAACCAGAAAATAAAGTTTATCAATTCATCTGAATTCAATTTCAAGTCCGATTCAGTGACATTGTCTAAGAGTTTTCGAACTTTTAAGTAACACAGGAGTCGTAGATATATATTAAATTGATCAAGCTCGGTAAAGGTTGTCCCGCAGAAAAAGCAAAAAGTTTGAAAATTGATTGTCAACGGCTTCAAAGAATAAAATAAAATTTTGTACGTGTAAGATAAAATATAGTGCGAATACCTTGGCGCTGAGGTATTCTCCAGCGAAACAAAAGATAAAGGCTTCCAACGTTACGGCGACGTAAAACATAGCGGATTTCAACATTAATACGGTAGCTCCGTCTTTACCGAGAGACTACAAGAAGATAGCAGAGAGAACTCGGAAGGTGTATTTAATAAGTTCGGTATATAATTATAAAAATATGCTATAAATATATTTGATTAATTAACGATGCGACATACCCCTATAAAGGTGAAGCCGACGAAACACATGACCACGGTATTCGACAAAAACTGCATCAGAGCGATCTCGGAATAGAGCTCTTCAATATTGTCCGAAAGCGTTATTATTCCTTGGTGTCGACTAATTAGTAGTCTGACACTTGCAACGATTGAAAAGCGCTGTGAAGTTTCATTGCCGCAAATTGTCAGTAATTCTCGACGAAGAATATCGATCTGTCCGCTCACGTGAAGCACCTAAACGTTGACTATTAATACAGTTCACAAAAAACTTTAAAAACTTCCGATTATTAGCAAAAAATCTTTTTAAAATTATCCAAATTCTAGATGCGGATTTAGAAGAAGACAAAAATTGGTTTTAATTAGTTTTGATCAGCACTCGTAAAAGAATGAGAAATAAAGCTCACAGGCAAGAAATAAAGCTAATAAATTTTACAAAGCCATGCATATCACTTATATAATCGGTGGAACTCACTAACGTGATGAGCAAGCAATTTATCATAGCGTTTAAAGAAGCCACCGACACTGCATAAAAAAGCTGAACAAGCGCTAAAAGTTCGAAGAGAGGAGACGCGTCAACTTCGAAGGGAAATTCCATCTTTATAGGTAACACTTTCGAACTAATGTTGAGATCCTCGTTAAATTCGGTCTCACGACGCACAAGAGTGGTCATGCAGTAGTAAATTGTGGCCGTGGCGTTAATGCTGATCAACACGTTCGAGCAACGGCGCGACAGATCGGCATTGCCCGACATGATATACGATACCGATTTATCGTAAATATTGACGTTGTTCCAGTGTCCTTCCATCGCCAGCAAAATATCATAAAATATCCTGTGGAAAATTGCTCGCGTATTTTGCATCAAAACCGTTGTTTCTGTCATTTATATCGAGGAACTATGTCCCTACCTGCGGTTCGACCAGAGAGATATCAGCTTCAGGCCGCCGAGGCTGGCCGATAACATGATACTAAGCGCGTCGATGAGATCCGAGATTTTGTTGACGTCGAAGTGATCGAAAATGTACACGTACTGAAAATACAGCGCCAACACCAAGCACGTCATATACACGAGCCAAATGACGGTTCCATACGGTAAACCGGGCCAGATTCCAACGAATCTGAGGCCGATCTCGACGGAAGTGCTGATGGAAGTTGCGCGCATTATCCTCACGGAATCGGACCACCGCGACGTTTCCTCGTCAAAACCGAAACGATTATCTTACGAGCAACGCTACTCGCAAATTAAGCATTAAGTTTCGACGAGCTATAACTCCGGTCGCAGTGCGAGGCAACAATGCGTTGCCCCTTCGTCGATCGTTATCAATCAATCGCAATTACGTGTGTTCTTACCGTGCTCGGTGCAACAGCAAAAAATAGCGTATACGTTACATTTTTACGATGATTACAGGTTACAGAGAAAGAAAGAGCGTAATTCGAGACGACATATATTGAATGTTACGCGGAAGGGGACGTAAGTTATTCATTTAATAAAAAAAATAAAAGATCCGTTGAGCGCATGTGCACAATGTCAGATGCGTTGAAAGACTTGAGAGACATAAAAGTAAAGGGAAGGGAGTGTTGCTACAAAGAGACTTGTGAGAAGATCTAAACGCGCATTGTTGTTTTATAAACAAAAGTAATATGGAATTAACGTTTGATCACATTCACGTGCTCCTTATTAGGAAGATCAGAGAAAATTATTTATTTTACCAATGTCTTGAATTTCAATATATACGTAACATGCGTTATATGAAAGTTTATTTATCAAAAAGATCTGTATACAATTTAAAATATTACTTGAGTAAACATCTCTATTTTCGAATGATATCTATTTCTTTCCCAATAATTCATTAGTAACAATAACATACTTCCAATATCCACGTTGCATTAAATTAGCGCATATGTGCTAGGTTAAGGATCATCTGATAATTAAAATTATAACTAATTATTATATTATATTTCAGGGAGCAATATTTACATGCGATTTTCTATGTCTTCCTACGATAAATTTCATCAAATGCACGAGGAAATATTATTGCCATTGATATCCGTATCCGGGCCGTAATTTCATAATAATTGCATATTATACAATGTCGATACGTATGATGCAAAAGTTTTTACAACTTGTGTACACGAAAACATATTTTCCATTGTAAGTATTAAGTATGTTGAATATATGCATAGTCCTAAAGACCGCTGAATCGTTAGCATTAAAAATTGTGTGCACATTCAACTTTGATATTCATTGGATACGTGTTATCCATGAGCAAAATTTTGTATGTATGAGAAATGGATTTTACGCGGTGAATCCCTTCAGAGAAACATCCATCACTTTTCCAGCGGTGATCGTCAATCTCTTTTGCGACCTCACAATCACAAGCAGAAGAGTTAGACATCTGGCTGGACGTCATTTTGTATCGAATTCCTGGACGGTTTCCTAGACGGACTCCTAGACGGCATCTACAATCGACTGAAAAACATCCAGTTGAGTTCTATGAATGTCGAAAGAGGACGAATATTTTTTCTTTCGAAAAAATTTTGCTTGATATAAATACGTGCATATAGTAGCAATTTGTAAAGTTATGTACTCGCATAATTGCCTATTAATACAGCAATTTATCAAGAAATAAGATCGTTCCGATAAAATACAGTTTAAATGTAACCTTTGTGCTAAGATACTCTCGGCGAAGCAATAAAGAAACGCTTCTGACATAAAATAAAATGATTTTTGTTACTGCTCTTTGATTGTTACCGGTAATTTTTAAAAACAACGAGTAAATAATATAAATTGGTTATGCAACAGCAAAGCAAAATCATGTACAACAATTAAATATTATGTAGTTATACGCAAATCTCTCGTTAATTGCTCGTATGTCTCTGTATCGAATTAATTCTTCATATTTTGTTATTTTTAAAAAATATCAAATTAATCTAAACTCGATTTAGAAACGTGCTATGCAAAGTACACAGTTGAATTTAGAAAAGATTTCGTCCACGTCATTTGTTTCATAACATAAATAAGTAAGCTCACCATTGATTGATTAAAAATATCATAAGTTTTAATAGTATAGAAGGCTCTCTCTATAAGACATCGTAGAGTGTTGAGGCCATCTGTCAGGTCGTCCGTGCGGAAGTATATGACGAAATATCAACACTGACAAATCTGCATCGTCGTCAGACTGATCCAGAAGACGCGACGAAGGACCGTGCAAGATGAGTCTGGCCAAACGCCGATCACCGATCTCGATCGAACTGCCATCGAGGATCATCGAATCGGTTTTCGGATCCATTTTCGGAGTTCTGACTTCGAAAGGTACTTCCGATCGAGACGCCTCCTTACATCGGTACCACCGTGAAACTTTGATATTTCGTCGAAAATTCAACCGTGTACTTCATATAGCGATGTTAAACACATGGATGAACGCGGATGAACACGGAAGAGCTTTCCCACGATATCGATGTGACCCAACAAAAAGTACCGACATGGAATTCTCATCACGATGGAAGAATTGGTGAATAAGAACGGTTGTAACAGTCAAATAAGTGTGGGTAGATTGGGGTAGATGACGAAGAAAAGAAAGACGAACGACACGAACAGCAGAGAGTGCATTGTCTTCGTAATTACCTCGAACCTTAAAATTTTAGGAAACAAATGCCGATCATGCAGGCGCATGGTCCGCGAGACCCTCGGAAAAGTAAACCCTCGTGCGTAACAATGGTCGGTTAGTTCAGAGCACTTTAAAATGGTATAACGTAGAGAATGACATGCGAACGAAACTTAATATAGCAAGGACAATGAAAGTACGTTCGGATCGGACGTCTATAACGAGGGGAAAATGAATAATTATTTGCAGCAGATATACCCCTGTTAGTAATCGAGTAAGTAAATGAACGACAGTGAGTGAATAGCATGAAAAACATGAATCTGAAGTTTTTGCAAGCAAAGTATGTTTTATAGAAATTTAGAATATTCAAGATTTTTTGAATTGGAAAATATATGAACGTCTGAAATTATTTAACAAATTTGGACTTTAATGACATCGTCGATACGAAGTGAGAATGTGCATGATCTAAAAGAGAAAATAAATATTATTCAAGAGGTATTTTTTATACATTTTTAAAGATCAAAAACTTTTTTTGTAAAATTTACTACGATTTCTCTTTAAAAAAAATGTATTGTTATTTATTTATTTCTATATATTTTCTTATAAAGTATATTCTCTTGTTCGTATATCTAAAACTGTTTTCGGTCCAATTACGTAATGCTACTTTGTGTTATGCTACACTTGCTACAGTCCAATATGTCGCTAATCACGGTAGATGCGCTTGGCACTTAAGTATAATTGTAATCCACTAATCTGGTTTAATACATCGCGTGCAGCACCGACATGTAAGAAGCGGATGCTTTCATCACCTAGCGGATATAAAACAATAAATTTTACTCACGTAACAGACCGCGTATCATTTTCTACTTTGTCTTAAGAGGTTTTAGGCCACCTTGAAACTTTCAAAAAATGAAATTTATTTTTTTTTACTTAAAACATTTTTTAGGATATCAAAATTAATGTGCAATTGGTCCTAATGCGAAAAAAATTTGCTTGTATTCAAAAAATATTGTTACATAAAACTTTAAATACGTTTTACTCAAAATGCATTTTTTAAATTAACGAGCAGTAGAACTCGAACAATATTTGACCAATTTATTTGAAATTTTAACAGCATCTTTAAAACTAAATTATCTAAAAAAATACATACAGATTTTACAATTTATTAACAATTTTTGGAATTATAGACAATTTTATACAAAATTTTTTGTAAGAATGAAATTTTTTCATTTAAATGCTCACCATTTCTTCAAAAATCCATATTTTGAAAAATCCATATGTACTTCTCTAGCTACTTCTCTAAATTTCATGTAAATAATGAAAATTTTTTTTGTTTTGCCTTACGATCAAATGGTGACCACTTCTACTGCTCGCCGCAAAATGGGGGAAAAAATATTAACTTTAAAAAAATTTGTTATATATTTTAAAATATGTATAATAAAGTGTATACATTGGATTTTGCAGTTACACACACACTTTATTGTTTCTTCAAAAAAAATTCCTAACAATGGCGCGATTTTTTAAGATGGCCTAACCCCTTAAGAAACATTAAACACATTTTGACGTTTTATATATCTTATAGTATAATGTATATTCGCAAGACAAGATTCTTACACTCGTAAATCCTACTAGAGAAAGGTCCATGATGTTTCCAGCAGTGATCGTCAATCTCTTCTGCGATCTTAATATCACAAATAATAGTATCCGACACTCGGCAGGTGGCATGTTATACCAAAGCGCCTCGTAGACTGCATCGCCAATCGATTTGCTCTGAAAATAAAAAAGAAAACAGTACAACAGCACAAACAAGAAAAGAAAGTCTATCAATTTATCTGAATTCAATTTCAAGTCCGATTCAGTGACATTGTCTAAGAGTTTTCGAACTTTTAAGGAACACAAGAGTCGTCAAGTACGTAGATGTACATATATTAAATTGATCATGCTTGATAAGTTGTTCTACAGAAGAAGCAAAACGTTTAAAAACTGATTGATTATAGTGGCTTCAAAGAATGAAAAAAAATATTGCACATATAAGATAAAATATTGTGCGAACCTTGGCGCTGAGGTATTCTCCAGCGAAACAAAAGATAAAAGATTCCACCATTACGGAGACGTAAAATATAGCGGATTTCAATATTACTATGGCAGCGCCTTCTTTAGTGAGAGACTATAAGAAAATAGCAGATTGAGATTCGAAAGATATTTAATACATTTTTACTATATAATTATAAAACAATGCTATAATTATACTTTATTAATTAGCGATCCAACTTACGCCTATAATGGTGATGCCGATGCAACACATGACCACGGTATTCGACAGGAACTGCATCAGGGCGATCTCGGAATAGAGCTCTTCAATATTGTCCGAGAGCATTATTATTCTTTGGTGTCGACTAATCAGAACCCTAACACTTGCGACGATTGAATAGCGCTGTGAAGTTCCGTCGCCGCAAATTGTCAGTAATTCCCGACGAAGAATATCGATCTGTCCGCTCACGTGAAGTACCTAAACGTGACTATTAATAGATTCCACAAAATAAACTTCCGATTATCAGCAAAAGTTCTTTTCAAAGATATCCAAATTCTAGATGCGGATTTAGAAAAAGACAAAAATTATTGGTCTTAATTAGTTTTTATCAGCGCTTGCAAAAGGAATATCACGGACAAAAAAATTAAGCTAATAAATCTCAAAAAGCCATTTGTCATTTATATGATCGGTGGAACTCACCAACGTGATGATCAAGCAATTTACGATAGCGACCAAAGAGGCGATCGACAATACATGAAGAACCTGACCGACCGCTAAAAGTTCGAAGAGGGGAGACGCTTCAACTGCGAAGGGAAATTCCATCTTTATAGGTAACACTTTCGAACTAATGTTAAGATCCTCCTTAAAGTCGGCCGAGCGACGCAGAAGACTGGTCATGGTGTAGCAAATTACGGACGTAACGTTAATGCCGATCAACACATTCGAGCAACGACGCGACAGGTTGGCATTACTCTCCATGATGCACCATACCGATTTGTCGCAAATATGAACGTTGCTCCAATCTTCTTCCATCGTTAGCAGGATATTATGAAATATCCTGTAGAAAATTCCTCGCGTATTTTGCATCAGAACCGTCATTCCTGTCATTTATATCGAAGGACTGTCCCTACCTGCGGTTCGACCAAAGAGAGATCAGCTTCAGAAAGCCGAGACTATAAGCCAACGTGATACTAAGCGCATCGATGAGATCCGATATGTTGTTGATGTCGAAGTGACCGAAAATGTACACGTACTGAAAATACAGCGCGAACACCAAGCTCGTCACATACGAGACCCAAGTGACGGTTCCATACGGCAAACCGGGCCAGATTCCGACAAAGCGGAGGCCGATCTCGACGGAAGTGCTGATGGAAGTTGCGCGCATTATCTCGCATGGGATCGGACCACCACCGCGACGTTTCCCTCGTCAAAGGCAAAACGATTATCGTGCGAGCGTATATGCTACTTGGAAATTGAGCATTGAGCTTCGACGAGCTATAACTCCGGTCGCAATGCGAGGCAACAATGCGTTGCCCCTTCGTCGATCGTTATCAATCAATCGCAATTACGTGTGTTCTTGCCGTGCCTGATGCGACGGCAAAAAAAGAAGCGTATAATACATTACATTTTCACGATGATTACAGGTTGCGGAGAAGAAAGGACATAATTCGAGACGACGTATATTGAGCGTTACGAGGAAGGGGAAGTAAGATATTCGTTAATAAAAAAAAAAGAAATAAAAGATCCGTTGAGCGCATGTGCACAATGTCAGATGCGTTGAAAGACTTGAGAAGCATAGAGGCAAAGAAAAGGGAGTGTTGCTACAAAGAGACTTGTGAGAAGATCTAAACGCGCATTGTTGTTTTATAAACGAAAATAACATGGAATTATCGTTCGTTCACACACATGCTCCTTAGTAAAATCAGAAAAAGATTATTTATTATATCAATGTTATGAATTTCACCGTACGTAACATACGTTACGAAAATTTATTAATTAAAAAGGAATATATACAACTTGAAATATTAATTAAATAAATATCTCATTTTTTAGTAAAATTAATTTTTTTTTTCAATAATTTGTTAGCGTTAATGCGCTTCTAATATTACGTTATATTAAATAAACGCATATTTATGTTATCCTAAGGATCGTCTGATTACGATTACAACTAATTAATTAATATATTTCAGGGAACAATCTTTCTATGCAATTTCAATGTCATCAAGTGAACGAGCAAATAAAGTCGCCATTGATATATACGGGTCGTAATTTCTTAATAATTTTATGCAACATGGATATGTACGAAGCAGAATTTTTTATGACTTGTATACGGAAAGACACTTTTCATTGTAAGTATTATATCGGATATGTGCATAGCGCCGAAGGCCGTTTACTTTATAAATTGTGTGCACAGTCATTTTGATATTCATTCGAGACGCGTTTAATATCCATGAGCAATATTTTGTATGTATGAGAATGGATCTTACGCCGGTGAATCCCTTCAGAGAAAGATCCATCACTCTTCCGGCGGCGATCGTCAATCTCTTTTGCGACCTCACAATTACGAGCAGAAGAGTTCGACACTGGCTGGGCATCATATTGTACCAAACGGACTCGTAGACGGCGCGGCGGCGTCTTGCGATCGATTTACACTGAAAAACAACCAGTTGAGTTAATTCTACGAATGTCGAACAAGAGTGAATATTCTTTTTCTCGAAAAAATGTCGTTTGATGTATATACGTTTATATAGCAGCAATTTGTTAAGTTAAGTGCTCGCAAAATTGGCTATTAACATAGCAATTTATCAAGAAATAAGATCGTTCCGATAAAATACAGTTTAAATGTAATAACCTTCGTGCTAAGATAAAGCAAAAAAGAAACGCTTCCGACATAGAACAAATGGTTTTCGTTAATAATGCACTTTGATTGTTACCGGTAGTTTGTAAAGACAATGAGTGAATAATATAAATTAGTTATGCAACAGCATGTGATCCGCGTCTACACTAACGTAGAAACTTAGAAAATGATTTTAAATACTATAACGCAAAGACGCTGATTAATACTCGTAATGACAATGCAATGACTAGAGAATTTATCGTTGCGATCAAGAAAGAGAAAGACAATTTGTAGAGAATCTGGGCTACTGCTATGGTCTCAAAGATGGGGATTCATTAACCTCGAACAGTAATTCCATTTTGAGGGAAGATCGAATTTGGTCCCAGGTGGATCATCTTTACCCCTTCGCGGAGCGTCGAATGAGACCTCCGAGAACGTAGAAGACAAGTCAAGGTGCTGATGAACATTAAAATGTTAAAGCACCGGCAGCGTCTAGAGATTAACGTTAAATTTATTATCAGATATATACGTGAACTAGCAGTAGTGATGTACTCTCTTCAATCGTCCATCTAAAATCTCGTGAAATACTCTACGCAAAATATAACAAAAGTATCTGCTATAGTGCGAGAGACACATGCGCAATGTAAACAACACGCGAAAATATAAAAAGTGTCTAAACGGAAAGTCCGGAAAACACTTTATACGAACGTCTTTACGACACCTTTTACATTTACGAGCTGTTACGAGGAGGAATTCTTATAGGTTGAATAAATGTCAGATTTGAAATATGAAAGAACTTATACAAACGTTGTAGAAAAGATGAATATTTTACGGCGAGTAAGTGCCTTTGTCGCCAAAACATAAAAAAAAAAAAATAAAAAACAGGCCTGTGAGAAGAAATTGTAATGATATTCTGTTTCTGCTTTATTTATAATAATTAATTAATTTTATGATATAATATAAGAATAATGAAACATTTTGTCGCGCGATATTGTTAGGTCAAAAAAAGACATGGATGTACTTTCTCGAATTACCCCTTTTAACCGCGTTTAGCGATTCAGTCAAAAAAATCACGATTGTTATGCGTGTTATTATAGTCATCTCGCGAGATTATAATAACTTCTGCAATGACTTGCTTTTTTAAATCTCCCGATATGAGCAAACGGTATATACATATTATGCGTGAAACTTGTACGTCGATTGATCTATTGTACGTCGCGTGATGACGATAAGAGAACTGACCGATCGCAGAGGGGACGACGAAAGTGCAACCATCAATCAATCGTAATTACACCTTGAACGGCTCAAGCACTGGCTGTTCAAAGATTGTAACTTCGGGGGCAACGAGCGATCAACAGGCTACCCTTCGCTGTCGAGCGAGGTAGCAAATTTTCTTTAAAAATGTAGATCTTTCTTCGAATATATGCTCGTATCTATAATAGTCGTATTACCTGTAATATCGTGTCGAGAAGAAACAATGGAAATCGACAAAGAATAAATGTAAGAGAACTTCGGAGGAAAAATAGAAAGAAGAAACACAATACGCAGACTGACTGAAGAATTTAACAATAGAAATGCGCAGGACTTTAAAAGTGTGAATTGTTTTGCTGAGTATCATCGTGATATCTTTGTTATATATATATAGGTAATATAAATTGAAAGTAAAGATATTTTTATTTGTATTAAAAGTAACTTTAATTGATGTAATATAAAAACTTTAAAAACGATATTAAATATAATACTTTTACATGTTAACAAAGTTTAATAGACGGTGTAGTCTTTTATAACAAATTTTGTAAAAAAAATATGACTTTTTTGAATTAATATCTAACATAATAATAATATAATCTAATATAATAGTATATTTTCAATCATATTGCATTTACATTTTTCTAGCGTATAAGACAAATATAAACTTCAAAGAGAATTTCTAATCTAATAGAAAGTTGTCATGACGTGTTATTGCATTTCTCCATCAAATTTGGGAAACGTATAGCAGTGCAGTATTGCGAATGACACATTGATGCTCAACATAGCATATGGGAACAAAAACGTGAAATATTACTTTTGGTGGTCATCACACGTAAATGCCGATCGGCATTACTTCACTCGTGCCAATCGTCCTCTATTGTCGTCAAAATTTTACAAAATCCGCCACTATTTGACTTTAATTGGCCAGATATTTCAACACCAATATGCAGAAAAATCTAATTACACTGAAACATTTGTTGGGTTACTGTCAGACAATATAAGGTTCATTTTGAGCGGTAAACTCACGGCATTCACGGTTATCATTCCGACGGTTACCAAATTGAAACTCATTGTTAAGAGACGTGCGAATGGGCAACTCAAAATTACGTTAACAACACCCTGATACACGAGAGTACGAAGATCGGTATCGCACATCCATATTACGAGTTAATCTGCATAATACACTGAAATTACCTAGCAATCCAAACGATCGATATGCTATATCCCTCGAGCACCAATCAATCAATCCCAATTATGTGCTGCATGGTCTCACAGTAATTCGCGAAATAGCTTATTACCCGTGTGGATGTTCTGTACCAAAATGATGTACCGGATCATAAACTACAACGGAATTTGGAAGCAGAGAGAGACTTAAATCAATGGAACGTATGATAGAAATCTCATTATAACTACGTGCAGTATATCTACATAAAATATATCTGCAAATTATTTAATAAGAATTTAAAAAATTTAGCAGATAAATTCAGTATGAAACTATATATGTATAAGAATAAATTTAAATATATAGCAAAATAAGAAGTGCAATTATTCGCATTTATATTCAATTATTTGAAACAGCACAATCTACAAATTTTCAAAAGTTACTTTAAAACAACATAAATATTTAAATAACAATTATTAATTTATTAACAATTTTTAATGATTAATCTCTTTAAATATTCAACAGTTTCTAAAATATCTTCTTTTACACTAATTTAATTATAATTCTCACAAATTACTATTGCATTTTTGTTGATATATCAATACATCGCATGCAAGACAGATACATATGACACCGATGTCTTCATGATCTAAACAAATAAGAGTTAACAAATTAATTTTAGTCTATATATATGTTAAGATAAAACAACAGATTGTAACGGACACTAAAATCAATTGTAAGCATGATAAAGTTTTTATTTAATAATTATTCATCAAGAATGTTGCGAAAGATTACATTCGTTAAAGCTTCGAATGACATATCCATCATTTTTCCTGCGGTGATCGACAGTCGTCTTTGGGACCTCATTATCATAAATGATATAATTTTACACTGATTTGGCGGCATATTGTACCACAACGATTCGTATGCTGCATCAGCGATCGATTTACTCTAAAAATAATGTAAATTATATGTCAAAAATAGCAGGGCAGTATTTTTTCTGTCGATCCAAACAATTCTTTTATCTGAAAGAAGAGCCTTTTTCTAGTCTACTATTATTAAAAGAAAAAATAAAATAAAATGATATATCATATTATATAATATAGAGAAAAACACTTTTTAAATCTTTAATTATAATTACTCGCAATATATTATACTTACTAACCTTAAGACTAAGATATTCCCCCGCAAAGCAAATGATAAATGCTTCTATTATTACGGCAAAGTAAGCCAAAGTGGCTTTCACAAACACGAAGACATCGGTTTCATTATGAACGGACTGTTTCAACGCACAATAAAAAAAAATGTATAACTTACATTGATCATAATGCATTTTTATAATAATAAAATACTCACAATTATAATGATGAATCCTAGGCAGCAAATGACTAAAGTATTCCAAATAACTTGCATCAATGCAATAAAGGAGAAAAGTGTCTCGATGTTTTCGGAAAATGCGTAGACTTTATTGTGCTTTTCGATCAGCATTCCTAATATAAATGCGGAAGATCGATAAGGAAAAGCATTCACAGAAATATTTCTGAACTCTTGACATATTATATCAATTTGCCCGCTTACGTGAAGCACCTAAAATGTACTCAAGCTGCTGCAAAGATTCCAAGTATTATGTACAAAAAAATATTTTTACTGCACAAAAATTACGTTTAGAAGAAAAGAATTTTTTTACTTTTTATTATTATATAATATAAATATATATTTAATTAAGCAACCATATCTTTTCAAAAGTGATATCAATTTTTATGTCTAAATGAAATATAGGTATAGTAAGGTTGCACTTTTGTATATAAGAAATTTCGCAAATAACATAAAATAAAATTTTTATGCTTCTTCGGTGTAACATCTTCTCGCATCACAAACTCTCTTGTTAAACATCTTTGATAAAATTAAAAAAGCAAATTTAAAATTCAAGACTTACCAAAGTAAAAATCAATCCGTTTAGAACCGCGACTGTAAACGAGATTAATATTACATGTAAAAATAGAGTTACGACCAATAGCTCAAAAATCGGCGATTGCTCAGTTTCGAAGGGAAGTAACATCTTGATAGGAAGCTGCCGCAAGGTATTATTGTAATCTTTGGTCGAATATACAAAACGAATTACGTAATCGCCCAAAACGTAAAGTACGGCAGCAACTCCGTTAAAGCTCAGCATAGCGTTAGAATAAAAATGAGATACACTGGCCTTAATTGTCATCATACTCAAATGCTGATCGATGTTGATGCACTCGCGCCAGTCGTTATCCATAAGGGCCAGGATTTTATGAAAAACTCTACAATATGTTAATTCAATTTGTAAATATAACCATTACTTTTTTTCACACGAAACCGATACACCTATTGATAATTTAAGTGTATTAATTAATATTTCAGTTAAAAAATCTGGATCAACATTTTCACAAAAATCTGGTTACTTGCGAGAGCGATTTAACGTGAAGTTAACATTGCACACGCGATGCGGTATCTTACCGGCGATGTATCCATAGACTGGCCAATTTGAGAAACGTCAAACTGTAATCTAAAGTCAAGGACAAGCCATCGACAAGATTCGAAAGCTCGGTAATTTTGAAGTGCTCAAGTATGTACAGATACTGAAAGTATTGTATGACTAGTATACTCGACATAAAAATCAGCCAGTAAACGGTGGAATGCGACACACCCGGCCACACACCGAGCAACCGAAGGCCGATTTTCAGCGCCGGACTGACGGTACTCCTGGCTATCATTCGTTAATAATTTGGAAAACGCGGTATGGATATAAAGATCAGCACATTTGTTTATTGTGACCATGAGAGAGAGCTGATAGGGAACTAACAGTTTTTCCAAGTACACCCCCATGCGCGCGCGGTACATCCCCACTCACGTGAGTACGGATCAATCGCTATTATACATTGTACAGTATAACAGCAAGCAATTCGAGATAGAATGATCTTATACGAACATTATATGTTCCTTTAATGGTCTCATAATGCGTATCTTTACCATGAAGGAACAAAAAATTATACATTGAATCATCTCTTCCCACTGACAATGCCATGTCGTCGATAAAAAAAAACGAATATGCATGCATTATTTTCTAGATATCGCGATAATCGCGATAATCGCGTAAGGCAGTTTGAAAGTTCATAATTATGTCTTGGGCATTCTAGGAAACGGAAATGAATTGTATTCATGGCATCGATTATGAGCTTTTAAGAGGACAAGAAAGGAAGAAACATTATATATCCCTCTGGCGTAATGATGAGTAATTTCTTTTAATAAGGTAAATATTAAATTTTATCAGAATACAGTTGCAAGGGAAGTAAAGAAATAGAAATCAACTGGACGTATTACAGAAACTTAGTTACACAACACAAGTAACAAGATATGCAAACATAAATTGCATATATACTCAGATCTCTGGATAAAGTCTTGATATTCGATATAGTCAACGTAATGAAAAATTATACTTCTCTGTTTCTCTTTCTTTCTTTCTTTTCTTTTTTTCGGTAAAAGTATATTTTTATATATAATTATAATATAGATTAAAAATAAACAAAAGAAAAATATAAATATTCAAATTAAAATTAAATGTAATTCTTCTTATGTAATCTATAAATCTTATGTTAAAACAATAATTTAAGATTATTAATTTGTCGAAAACAGTTTAATTATCAATAACAGTTATTCTACATTAAGATTTTATACTAATAATAACATTGTGATTTCAACAAATTACTATTTATTAATATCAATATATCGCGTGTAAGACAGATACGTATGATGCTGATGCCTTTATAATCTAAAAAGAATTTAAATTCAAAAATTAATTTACAAACACGCGCGCATATATTTTTATTAAATGTTAAAAGATTTTACTTAACTGTCCAAAAAAAATATTTCAAAAACTTACATTCGTGAAAGTTTCCAAAGATAAGTTTGTAATTCTTCCTGCTGTGATCATCAGTTGCTTTTGAGATCTCATTACTACAAATGTTACTGTTTTCCCCTGATTTGATGGTAAATCGTACCACAATGATTCGTACGCTGCATCGGCGATTGATTTACCCTGAAAATAATGCAGAAGATATCAAAGACAAAACGGTATTTTCCGTTTTTCTTTATTCAATTAAATATGAAAACCTTCTTTGTATAAACGACAATATCTTTTCTAGTTATTTTTATTATTTTATTATTGTACAAAAAGTGAAATAAATTGAAATAAAAAAATATACGCCGTTTATAAAAGATAGAACCAATACCATCAAGTAGCATTGTTTAGAATACAAATAAAAATAATAATATGTTATAAAAAATTGTTTACATTATTTCTATTTCTAGAAGGAGTCTCATACTAGCAATAAACGACTAGTTATTCAGCTTAGTTTTGGTTTTATAATAATTTATATATTTTTTTATATTTGAAAACTGTACGAATTTCCTTATAGACATTGCAATGTGTTTACCTTACAAATATTTTGTAAGGTAAATGTAATCAGATTACATTAAAAATATGATATACTTGTAGTTAATAATTTTCATATTTTACTAACCTTTAGATTAAGATACTCTCCGGCAAAGCATAAGATGAAAATTTCCATTATCACAGCAAAATAAGTAAGAATAGTTTTTACTATCGTAATGACACTGGTCTCAATATAAAACGACTATTTTGGTAAACAATAAGACCGAATAAATTAACTGTAATATTGATCACAGCATATTTTTATTGAAGTACTCACAATTATGATAATAAATCCTAGACTGCAAATAACTAATGTATTCCAGATAACTTGCATTAACGCAATAAAGGAGAAAAGTTTCTCAATATTTTCGGAAAATACATAAACTCTGTTCTGACTTTCAATCAATGTACCTAATGTAGATGTGCAAGTTTTATAAGAAAAAGTTTTTCCAGAAATAGTTTTGAATTCTTGACATAATATATCGATTTGTCCACTTACGTGAAACACCTAAAATATATATGTACATACATATATCTAAATTTCTATAATTTTCAAATATTAAAAGTATCAGAAATATTTTATTACCAAATATTAGAAATTTAAGAAGTATTTTATTTAAAAAATCAAGCTTGGTATAAAGAAAAAACCGAATGTAAGTGCGTTTATAAGTGATATTCAATTAATTAATTATTAAATTTATTTTACACTGATATAAAATCTTATCGTATCAAATTAAGTTTATATATATGACATATCATAATTCGTACTTAACTAAATTTTACATATCTATAGACAAAGTGTAATTTTGATGTTCTCAGATCTGTACTAACATCATATGCTGTTAAACAACCTTTGTGAAAAAGTATATTATTGTTAATAATTGCAATAATTACAATAATTTATAAGGTGAGACTTACTAAAGTAGAAATTAATGCGTTTACAATACTAAGCGTGCACGCATTCAACATTACATGTAGAAATAGAGTTACAACCAGCAGCTCAAAAATCGGCGATTGTTGAGTATCGAAGGGAAATTGTACCTTGATTGGAAGCTGCCGCAAGGTAACATTGTAATATCCAGATAGATACACAAAACGAACTGCGTAATCACCCAAAAGGTAAAACACCGCAGAAATCGTATTAATACTTAACATAATATTAGAATAGAAATGCGATATATTGGCTGTGATTATCATCACATACAAATGTCGATCATTATTGACACACTCGTGCCAGTCATTGTCCATATCGGCCACGAGTTGATGAATGACACTGCAACGTGTTTCTTTAATTGAACAGATATTGTCGCGAGACATTATAAATCATTACTCGCATTCCGATTTAGGATTAGATAGAATTACGATACGTTTAGCTTATAAGAGATCTGAATATAATATAACAATATAACACGTATTAAGAAACTAATATATAAGATATACTAATATAAAATTTGTCTGTCTCAAACAGGGCAAGATTGGGGATTGAAACTAACGTTTGCAGTGCACACAACATCTTACCGACGATGTATCCAAAGACTGATTAATTTAAAAAGCGTCAAACTGTAGTCTAAAGCCGCGGGTAAGCTGTCAACGAGATTCGAGAGCTCACTAATCTTGAAGTGCTCGAATACGTATCGATATTGGAAGTACTGTACGATCAGTATGCTAAATATATAAATTAGCCAATAGGGGATGGAATACGACACACCCGGCCACATATCAAGCAATCGAAGGCCGATCTTCAGCACTGGACTGACAGTACTCGTGACCATTATTCGTAAAAAATACCGAGATCGCGAGGAACCAAAGATCAGTGTCGAAACATTCTATCCGGCACTTGGGTTTGAGAAAGAACTGAAAGAGTACTAACATTTTCCTGAAGAGCAACCCCACACGGTGCATCCCCACTCGAGTAAATATGGATCAATCGCTATTATGCATCGCGTATGGTATAACAGCAAATCGAGATAGAGCTCATTATTCATATGGACATCCTGTAATTCTATTGGTAGTCTAACAACGTATAATACCCGCGAAGTAACAAAGATATCAGACTTAAACGCTCAATGAACAACTCCATGCGCAATTGTCAGTTCCTTTTTTTTGTCATTTTGTCTCTTGGCAACGCGATTCTATCTAAAAGAAACAAATGTTTATTACGTTCTATACATTGCAACAATCATTCAACCAACAGCGGAACGACGGTAATTACATATTAAATATTCTAAGCGAACGGAACTGCATTATATTCGTGCAGTTCAACCTCTGGTCTTTAAAAAGATAATGCGAGGGTAGAACTCACTGGATAGGGGATATAATGATGAATAATTTTCTTTAATGATTCCGGGAATGTAAAAAACTCGCTTGAGGAAGAAATTTCAAAAGTAAAAAGTTTTTAATTGGAGATGTTATTAAGCATTTTATAGTTTAAAATACGTCTATACACAACAAAATATATATCCATACAAACTAAATACGCGATTCTCTAATATGGGGTTAATGCTCGAAAACATCCGAGCATTATCTATTTTCCATTTCTACGCTTTCGACTATAGAAAATCGTTCCTTATAAAGAATTGGCCTAGCATGACAGTTGCACCATGTTGTGTTAATTTTGTTAAAAACCTTGGGTAAATTATAATCAAGAGTTTTTATTATCATTCACATATATTCAACAAATTTTGGTGAATACCTACTTCCTCAAGTCATTGTATAAATGATTAATTGACGTTTTTTACACAGACACTTTTCAACATACCATTTTGCAGTACTAGAAGATAATAATAATTCTTCTTCTCTCTTATTTTTGGAAACGGTTCATCTCAGCTAACAGCTAGAACTATACTAACTTCACAGCTCCATTATAAACACATCAAAGAAAGATAGATTTGATTAGCTTTTATCGCCGCTTAAATAATAAATAATAAATATAAACTAACTATATTTATTTAATTATTAATTATCAATATATTTAATTTGCTTTAACTTTACAGCTTATTAACTACTTAATAATTTCAGAAAATAAATCATGCGTGTTTGTTGATTTCAATACATAGCGTACAAAACCGATACATATGATATTGACGCTTTCATAATCTAAAAAACACAAGTAAAAATTATACAAGTTAGATCTATAAATTATATTTATCCCCATAACAAACATGTCGCAGCAGATTCAAAAATAATAAAGTCTAAATAAATTTGTCTTTTAATAATTTAATAATTTAAAAAATTTTTAAATTTACACTTGTAAAAGTTTCACATGACATATCCATCATCTTCCCTGCCGTGATTGCCAGTCGTTTTTGCGATCTCATCATTATGAATATTAAAATTTTACTCTGATTTGACGGCATATCATACCATGGCATCTCGTATGTTGCCCTGGCAATTGATTTGCCCTAAAAAATGATGCAAATACTGTCAAATATAACGACGATATTTTATATTCATTTTTATCTGTTTAATTCGTTTAGCAAGAAAAGATTTTTCCAGTATTATTTTTGACATTGTAAAAATATTATAACAAATTTAAAAAAACTATTTTTTTATTTCATTTCTATTGTTATTTAAAAATATAATAAATTTTATATTTGTAATAAAAATTTTATAATTTTTAAATATAATTTTATTATAGCAGCCATGTGTGTTGTCAGTATTTCTAAAGATATTTATATGTTTGTAATACATTTCTTATTTTAAAATAAGAAAAACTTCTTTTTGCTTAACATTAATTAACATAAATAATATTTTAAATATTACACATAGACACACGCACACACGCACGCGCACGCACACACACACACACACACACACACACACACACACACACACACACACTGCAACAATATATTTTTATTAAAAGAACTATGTCATATATATACAGTTCTATCGGCATAAATATCACGTGATAAAAAATTTAATAAAAAATTTATGATTAATCACTTTTGGGTATACTTACTTTGGAGCTAAGATATTCTCCGGAAAAACAAATCATAAAAACTTCCATTGCTACGGCAAGGTAAGTAAACATGGTTTTCACTAAGGCGACAACACCAGTTTCATTGTGAATAGACTGGTCCGATAAGCAATAAAAATAGAAATGAATGAAATATATATGACAACAACCATTATATATACATATTACCGTACTTACAATTATGAAGACAAATCCAAGACAGCAAACAACTGCTGTATTCCAAAAAATTTGCAATAACGAGAACAAGGAGAAAAGTTTTTCCATGTTCTCAGAAAATGAAAGAATTCTGTTATGCCTCTCGATAAGCATTCCAAACGAATGTATGGAAGATCTATGAACAAGAGTATTCTTGGAAATATTTCTGAATTCTTGACATATTATATCAATTTGTCCGCTTAGATGGAGCACCTATAATATACTTAAATTTTTGCAAAAATATAATTATTGCCTGTGAAAAAAAATTAAATATTTTCTCAAAGATACAATAAATGTGATAATCTTACATAATATATTTAATTAATATTACATGACTGTAAAATATACTCTTAACACTAAC